TAATAACTACCAAAAACTATCCAATCTGATATCCCCAAAACAGGGCTGTCAATTGAATGTTAATTTACAGTGATTAATTATATTTAACACATACACAAACATTAAAATGAGTGTAATTAATCATGTCAACTGACCCTGAAAATTCCATGAGGAATCCCACCATCAGAGCAATTAGTCTAAACAATGTTGCAGCCATCAGTTAAAAAAATTAAATTAAATAAAATCACGTATTCGCCCTCATGTTGTTCCAAACCTATATTGCTCGTATTCTCCTGTCAAACACAAAAGAAGATCATTTGAGAAATGTCTCAGTGTTTTTTGTCCATACAATGGAAGTCAATAGTAACCAACATCATTCAAAATATGCAAAATCAACTCATTTTGGATTTGGAAGGACGTGAGGGTGATTAAATGATGACTTTGGGTGAACTATACCTTTAAGTGCATTTTACAAACCTCTAATGACCAAGTCTGACATACAAGACACCATCAAACAGGCTAAACTATAAAGAATGAACGCAGCATTGTTTCCCTGAATGCATTGCTGCCTAGTGCACCTTTGTTTCAAATTGTTTTATTACAGCCTAATTAAATTTAAGAGGCAGAACTGTGTGGTAGGTTGTGGGGAAAGGCATGATCCGCTGGGCTCATGTTTGTTCCTGTGGGAGGAGGGGAGCCAGAAGTTGATTTAATAGCATTTCCACTTCAAAGTAGCCATTATTGCTGGGTTAGGGTCCCCTATTACCTGCACAACCCACGGATGCTTTAACAAGCACTGAGGAAAGGAAAGGCCTCTTTGAATACTGAACCTCTGTTACAACTGGGTCTAAATGGGAATTACAATTCCATCCTTATTATAACTGTGGCTTATTCACACAAAACTTATTTGCTTTTTAAGTCATAGTAAAGACCTCCCAATGACTTGAAATTAAGCCAATGATATTTATTATTGACTAACCCTAATTCAGTGCCTATCCCTAAACAGAGTCTGTAGTTTAGTGTGTAGCTTTCCTCAGTTGGGCCACAATATACTAGTTTTTTGGGCCACAATTTTCAGTTTTTACTTTGTGGGAACCTTTGGACACACATAATGAAGTCCACATCGAAAAACTGCGGTTTTGTTTTACTTTAAACCTGAAAATAAACCAAACATGAAGAAATATTTAGAAATCCTATGTGCATTTCTTTGCACAGACGAGCAGATGTTCTCGCTTCCACTGAAGCACAAGATGCTCGCTGGATCATTATCAAATCATGATTGTCAAGTTTTGTTCATGTCAACTTAAATACAGCTGTCATTACAGCAGAGGAGTCACAAACCAAATACTAAGGTATTCTGAAATTCCAAACTCAACTTTACTTATTGTTACATTGATAATATAATTTTGCAAGAACTGTATTATTAGTAGTAGTATTATTATTACATTAAAAATGAGTGCAAGGCATTTTCACAAGTGTTCTCAGACTTTTGGACCCCACATACAGAATTTCTTTCTGTCTTTATGTCATCCACTATAACAGTTCTAGTCATACAGAAAACAGCAGATTAAAGAGATGTTACAGAAACAGTTATTCTTTCAGTGTGTGTTGTAATGCATCAGATATGTGTTAGACCACAAGATGGCAGACATGCATGACACTGAGAGTGGTGTTCTGCCTGGTGCCTTCGCTCCCAGCTGTTCCTTAACTCCCAATTCTGTGAAGAAAATGTACTTAGGAATATACACCAATTTCAAGATGCTGATTGTTAATATGAAACAGGTTTTTTTTTTTTTTAAATAAGGACCTTGGTAAAATGAATGAATATCAAATCAAAACAAATACAGATTCTGAGAAATCCAAAAACGAAACTATCTCAAATACAGCTTGTTATTTTGATAACTTGTATTCCACAGCAATAAAAGTTTTGATTGATATGAATGTGAGTAGATGATGAAAAATAAAATATTCCACTGAAACTCATTTCATTTTCATTTCAAACCGAGAGCGCATGTCAAATGGAATTTAGCATGATGCCTATAATTAAACCTGATGCACAGGTTTGCATAGGTAGATTTGCACTGATATACACTCTAAAAAATGCTGGGTTAAATATAACCCAGCGCT